TATATATACAGAAAAAAAATATATATATAGATATATATATGGGTACTCGTATTTGAGGACATCCGTCTGCTAGCCAATTCCTATTGCTTTCACTTGCTCAGGCGTATTTTGTGTTTATTCAACACCCACAGAGCACACTTGTGATGTATGCTGCAATTATGCTGAGCAGACCTTAGTTACAGTTTCTGGGAAAGAACGTAATCAACAATTTGGACGAGGCCAGCACGCTCAGGCCCTCGGCCACTATGATATGTAACTTCGCGCTAGCACATCTATCGAGGGCCCTCAAGAGTTCCGTCTTCCCAATTTTAGTCACAAGGCTTGGGTCAACCCGTGGTATGGATTTCAGGTGCCAAACCCCTGCAGTTCGATAACATCAGGAAGTCTCCTTCCTGACAAATCTACCATGGTGAGATTCGAACCCGAGTCGCAGGGTCAGAATGCACTCCGACTGACACCAATTCAGTCGGGTTTCGATCCTAGCTAGAGGCAACCGGATGTCTAGCCACACTGATGAGCTGTGAAACAGCGAAACAGTCTGTCTGTGGATGACGTTATATTGGCTCCTGAAATATCAATTTCAGTTGAGCTCTCTGGGGACGAGGTGTGGGTTGGTAAACAGTGACTATTATAGCTATATAGCAAGACTCTTCGCAGATGCGAATGGAGTCACTGTCGGTCATTGGGCGTGTTTCTAAAAATAAATACGCTAAAAATCCACTTTCATCCCTACCGTGCGCCGACGGCTTAATGGTTAGAATTCAGTCGGGTTTCGATCCTAGCTAGAGGCTACCGGATGTCTAGCCACACTGATGAGCTGTGAAACAGCGAAACAGTCTGTCTGTGGATGACGCTATATATATATATATATATATATATATATATATATATTTATTTATTAAGGCATTAAAAACAAGAAATGTTATATTGTAGGCCATGATAGATTTAAAACAAAACACACACCAGTCGACCGGTTTCGTCCCCTTTCATCAGAACTGTTAACGAGGAACTAAAATTATGAGGAAAAGAAAAAAGAAAAAGTCTGTCATGAATGACATGAATGAGTGGACAGGGAGAAAAAAATATTATAAAAATTATACCAACCAAGATGCTAGAAGCGCAGCACAGCAAGTCCAAGCAAACAATCTCTTTGTTTACAAAGAGCAGGTCTCCTGGACCTGATGTAAAGCGTCTCCAACACCTTAAGATGGAATAATGAGTGCGAACTGGCCAAAATGGAAAACCAGTTCACACTGAAATCCTTCGCACAAGTGGGATTCTTTATAAAGTGATCCGCAATCGAAGAACCATACGTGTTACGAATGGTATCACCCAAAGAAAATTTTTTGTTCAGTAATATAGCAGGTACGTGTTGTTTAATTCTAACGTCTAACCTCTGTGTCGTTCTACCTATGTAATCGAATCCACAACTACATTTGAAATGGTAAATAACAGAATTAATATGGTGGGGTGGGTAGAACATCTTTACACATAAATGAAAGTACGGACTTAGTTTGAAAAACAACACGAACGTTCGCTGCAAAATAACACTCACGTGAACTACACGAAATACGCTTGGCGAAGGATTCACTAATCCTACCCAACCACGGTAAACGAAGATAGACCGGACATTTACCTACTGAAGCAGGTTTGATTTTGTTGAACCTGGCAGTCAATCTCGAATAACCGATTGAACAATATTCAACGGATAACCATTGTTCACAAAGATCTCAGTTAAACAACTGATTTCATGTTTCAAGGTGTCACCCGAACAAATCATTAACGCCCTATGTGTGAGGCTCCTAACCAAATTAATCTTTTGTCGTTTAGGACAAAAGGAGTCCCATCGAGTATATAGTCCTGTAAAAGTAGACTTCCTGTACACAGAGGTAATAAACAAGGAAGAAGTTCTTTGAACAAGAACATCTAAGAAGGGCAAGTAAACCTTGGGTCGGACAGAACTTTCCTCATAAAACCCTACAAAAATATTTGCCAACACAGGACACAAAGGGGAACCCATCGGTACACCATCGATCTGACGATACATGATATTGTCGAAACTGAAATCGACAAACATGGTGGCAAATTTCATGAGTTCAACGAACACTTCTCCAGGTATATTCGGAGGAGTCAAATCACTACGATATAACATATCGCTGCAAATATCTATAGTCTCGGATAAAGGAACACAAGTGAAGAGGCTACAGATATCAAAGGAACACATAAATCCATCAGTGGCATCACAATTCCGAATGAATTTGGAAAAAGAAAATGAATCTTTAATACAAAAGGAACTGTAATGCTGCAACACTGGTTGCAACAATATAGCAAGCCACTTTATTCTGTGAAGACCCAATCATCGATAATATGGGTCTCAACGGGACACCCTTCTTATGAATCCATAAAGACGGGGACGAATAGAGCCAAGCGGTCTCAATTGCTCCGCCATTTCAGAAGAAAGAACACCACATTTTTAAAAATCTATCATGGCCTACAATATAAAATTTCTTGTTTTTAATGCCTTAATACGATTTTGTACTGTTTTCAAAACATATTTAAATATATATATATATATATATATATATATATATATATATATATATATATATGTTGCATATTCTACAAGGTTTCAATTCTTCACGGTAACTAGTCCACCATTGATTCAAAACAATCCAGCTCGCATGGCATGGGAGATACACCACATGTTTTACCTTTGTGTGTCATTTAATAATATTCTAAGACGTGCCATAAGCTTTAAGAGAGGGAAAAGTGATAAACCCCATTTCCATTTCGAAAACTTCTACGTATATTAGTTATGTTATTACAGTTAAAAGCTGGCTCAAACCATTTAATGTTGCATTTACGGTGTTTTTCTGCTGATTTGTACCTTCTTTGTTTCAAAATAATCTAAATTTCCTTTAGTTCTAAAGCCTGTATATATTTACTTTTAGACTTATATTTCCTTTTTGCTGGAGTTGCTGGTTAATCTAACTTGGACTGATTTACGTAAATTATCTACAATTTTATGATGGTGATTTGATTCGTTATTTATTAATATATACTTAATTGTTCTGTTATAGCACTGAGCACTCTTTTATTAACATCAGCACTATAAGTAGGATATATCATATATAAAGGCACGTATATAAAACATGATAAAAATTGCATATATATATGTGAAAAGTATGTGTATATAAATATACATATATATATATATATATATATATATATATATATATATATATATATATATATATATATGTGTGTGTGTGTGCGTGTGTTTTGTGTAAATATTATATATATTATTATTTATATATTATATGTGCGGTACTTATTAGAAAGCGCTCAATATCAGAGATAGAGCTAACATATTTGGTTGGATTTGCGATGTTTGTCTGACGATCGCAAAAGTGTGAAACCCAGGTCAAAACTCACATCAATCCAACCAAATATATATATATATATATATATATATATATATATATATATATATATATATATATATATCTTTTAATCATTTCACTCCAAGTAAATCGGAAATGCCACTAGTTACAGCGAAAGTGAGAGAGAAAACAGTTTAGTGAGTAATGTGGAAAGGACAAAAGATGGACGTGATTCAAGAAGACAGAAGATGGCGATTGACATTGCACTGTTTATTTAAAAATACTCTAAAATTTACTTTATGATGACTTCCATCTAAAGCATATATTTAAATTTAGACTTATCAAATAATTCTTTATTGCTGGAGTTGATGGATAATCTAACTTGGACTGATTTATGTAAATTATCTAGAATTTTATGTTGGTCTTCTGATTCTATACTACCGTATCTGTGGTTATATAGTTTTGTTTTGTCTCGTTTATGTACTTTTTGATCTCGCGAGAATTCGTTGAAGGGCAACATAGTGTGGAATGTGATAATATCAATGGCCATTTGCTATTTTTATTAGGCGGCATTGATTGAAGCCGTTATCTGTTTACGAGAGGGAATCCACGTTTCACACGAAATAATATTAATAGTAAAATAACACAGGCCTTGTCGACCGCCATCTTGGAAATAAAAAAGCTATCGTGGATACCAAATACGAACATCACGTGGTTAGAAACTCTCAGTAACTTTCTGCAGGCGAACATCTCATTCTCTAAAGTGTTATGAAGATTTTAAATACTCCCAAATTATGGAAGCTTGTCAGCGGCTTTTTTTTAAAAAGCAAATCATGCCAAGCAAGGCGGGTGTCCCACTAGCACGAAAGGGGTTACAGAGAGTGCGAGTAAGAGTAAAAAGAAGCGTTTGGGAAAAGGATAAAGAAATATGGATCAAGATCAAGGCATCAGAAGATGTCAGTTGACATTACATTTGAATATTTGAAGATTATAGCTATCAGGGAAGCAAGTGATAAGAAGAGAGTTCTACCGACGGGAGGTGTGAGTTAAGAAGTTGTTGAAGTAGAAGAGGCGGCTACATTTAGTCGTCTCGACAGTGAAAGGGTGGGGCCGAGATGTCAATCTCGTAACATGCTTAAATTCATGCAGTTTAGGAACCAGTGAAAGTAGCTCGTCGGAGCAGTTTCTATGAAAGTACTTGCAGAAAAGACAAAGAGAAGCCACAGCACGTCTGTGAGAAAATTAGTGTAGACGGGATACCAGATCAGAAGCATTCATGTTGCATATCTTTCTCTGGAGTTTGTCGAGGACCTTGAGATGAACAGTGGGAGCATTAGACCATATATGGCAGCAATATTCCATGCAAGGACGAATGGTTGACTTGTAGATTTGAAAGATGGACTCAGGCGAGAAAAAAAATCATTATGGCACGACACAGAGAACCAACTTTCCTTGCGGTAGCTGTAGCTATTGATTCAATGTATTTGTTCCACTTCAGGTCAGCTTCAATAAAGGTTTTAGAAGACAATACAATTTTTCTGAAACTGGTTTTCTTTTTAAACTGATGGTCAAACCAAAACGTTTAGAAACCGTAGAAAAAAAAATATCCATCTGAGAATGTACGGCCTGGTGAAAATTATCTCTATATAGATCTAAAATTGGGCACCTCGACGTGATGTAATGGCTAGCAAGCTTGGTTCGCTAGAAACATTACGACTGAGTAGTGAGTTCGATCCTCATTGAGAGTCCCTTACTTTGGACCTTGTGCCACATCTACGCTATGCTTGGAAAATCACTATAGATCTTAAATTATGCATAAAACAATTTTGCCTTTCATTGTAAATAGTTAATATGTATTCACCTAGCATTGAACATTTATTAAGATTCAAGCTCACCACGGACCTTGTGGAAATCGTATATCCATTACTAAATATTCTGCAAAAACTTTAAGTCCTTTCTCCCCCCGAACTGAAAGTTGTACACCAGAGCTATACCTGCCATACTGTATCTTTACAAGAACAAGAGCTTACCCAATCCCCACGGTCCAGCCATAACAGAGTTTAAAACGTTTTCTTGGTATTGTGGGTGACAAAATCTTTTCACGCAACAAACTCTTTACCCAAAGACAAATCGCTGTTAACCTTGCGTTATTTTCCTCGAAAATGTTCGGGTGGACAGTATTCCTTGGATCCACCATTACAGAACGGCCAGGAGCCGCCATACCAAGTGCTCAGAATCGTCTTTATTCTGTTCATATTCCAATGGTTTGGGTGAGGATATACAGCTTCTTCCTCAACACTGTTGCATTGTAGAACTGATTCCAGAGAAGAATAATTCCTCGTTCCCTATATTCTTGACCGCTTAAAATTATTATCTATCCTACATATCCTCATAATATGCATCTCTTGTCCACTCCTTGTACGCTCTTTAATACAAACCCATTTAGTAACCCTATACTATGAGTGGCACTTGGTCCTTATAATTGGTAGACAGCATTTACATTATTCTGACTATTCTCCTCATCTTTTTCTCCGTATTTATTACAATGTTTCGGCCGTTGTACGCTCCTGCCTTCTTCAGGTTGCTGGAATGTCGAACTGAACCCTTTATTTCGCTTACTGGGGTAGACTGTTTTAGTTCCACGTGCCATGTATCTTCCGTTAATTCCCATCTGAAAGTTCTCCACTGCCTTAACCGGGTATTGAACTCACACTCGTTGTAATAATTATGGCGACAAAGGTGAGGACAACGGTCCGAATAATGTAAATAGTGTACATAATACCTCATCTCAGAAATATAGACAGATAATTGGTAGACGATATATATATATATATAGTTTTAATGTGTGCTATATTTATGGGATAAAGTGCTCAATATCAGAGACAGAGCGTATGGGAATATAAAAGTGAACATTGAAGAATAAATAAAAATAAATAAAATGAAATAAATAAGAAAAAAAAAACAAGTAAAATAAATTTATCCAAGCAAATAGTGAATAAATTAACAAACCACTCTTGTCATGGCAACCGTTAGAATAGACTGAAAAGAATAAACAGAAATGAAAATAAATAAGCAAAAATAAGTAAGAATAATCAATCAAAATAAAGAAATAAATAATAACCAAATTAACATAGCACTCCCGCCAAAATAACCGTTAGTGTAGACTACAGCAATCAATCCAAAAATTGGACGAAAAAATAGTTATAATTACCCTCTCAGACCAAGACAATTTACTAAATAAACGATTAGAACTGATCTCAATTTTTTTTACTACGTTACTAAAAAATCGAAAACTGAAAAGAATAAATAAAAATATATAAAATAAAAATAAATAAAAATCAAGTAAAATAAATTAATCCAAATAAAAAAAAACTCCTGCCAAATAACCGTTCGAATGGACGAACCACAATGCACCCCTGAGCCATATATATATAAATAGTCGAAAAAAACCGAAAGACGTGTGCCTTGACAATTGCGTTTAAGCAAGAAATAGATTGTCGCCGCTGAGTGTTGACTTCAATGTTCACTCGTATATTCACATATGTTCTATTTCTGAGAACTTTAATCCATAAATATAGCATAGCTTAAAACTATATTTTTATCATATATATATATATATATATATATATACACAATTTTACATAAATATAATAATCATGATATGTTTTGAACAATAAAAAATATTAATAAATTAAAATTTTCAGACACACTGATTGTATGTTAATATGTTTTGTTTTATTATTTTAATTAGATTCCTCGACTAGTTTCGGCCAGCATGTCCATCATCAGGAAAAAATCCTTGCTTGTAAGTAGCAGTGAACTACAGGAATGAATGACTTTTTTAAGAAAATGAACTTTATCCGTAGTTTTCATTTGTTTTTATCGTTAATTTTGGTCAGCCTTGTATTGTTCAAACGGCCTCTTTTAAGATGTTTTTCAGATAGAGGCTAGCGAGATTCATGTGACTTAGAATTCAGTTGATCATAATCATAATCATAATTTATATAATAACTGAAATAAAAAATAATTGCTGATTATATTAACTTATTTTACTACGTTTAAGCAATATTTACGTTTTTTCAGTTAAATGTAAAATTCATTAATATTTTGGAGATACGAAAAAACATACCATGACAACTTGAGCTCTGAACGGCATATTTATTTAATCATTCTAAATTTATTTGAAGTTGTATATGTATTTTTTATTATTATTTCTTTCAATCTTTTTCCACAGTTGCAAGATTTTTTTTTCTATGTTAGTATTTTTTTTGTTTTTGTACAACTAACCTGAAGAATGTTAGTCGTATTTTTACTTTCTGTTTTTTTAATTTACCTAAAGATATATTTATCAACTTCGTATTTATCAACTGTTTATTTTTTATCAATTGATAGTTTAGGTGTTATTCCTGTCAAAAAAGCAGTATAGATTATTTTATTGTTTCTTATAAATAACGACTTCATAATCTACAAGTATCTTTGGCTTATTTCCCGATTTATATATATATATATATATATATATATATATATATATATATATATATATATATATATATATGTCTGTGTGTGTGAGTGTGTGTGTTTGTATTTCGATCGTAGCTAGAAGCAACCGTACGTCTAGCCACACTGATAAGCTGTGATACGGCGGAACAGGATGTCTGTCAATGACAATATATATGCTCCTGAAAAAAATTTAAATCGTTATTATAGAGGATACACCGTTTTGTAAATAGGCACACTAATTTTAATTTATTAAACAGCCTATCAGCCTGCACAATCGAGAAAATCTTCGTTCTTCTTTGTCAGATTAGTATACATCTATCTATCTATCTATTTATCTATCTATCTATCTATATATATAATATATGGTTTGGTTTGGTTTATTTTGTTTAACGGCATATCAACCTCAATGGGTTATTTAATGCCGACAACATTTTTAGGATAGATTCGTATGAATAGAGTATGTATTCTTTGGTTTAGATGGGTTTGGTTTATTTTGTTTTACGGCATATCAACCACAATGGGTTATTTAATGCTGACAAAATTTTTAGGATAGATTCGTATGAATAGAGTATGTATTCTTTGGTTTAGATTGGTTTGGTTTATTTTGTTTTACGGCATATCAACCACAATGGGTTATTTAATGCTGACAACATTTTTAGGATAGATTCGTATGAATAGAGTATGTATTCTTTGGTTTAGATTGGTTTGGTTTATTTTGTTTTACGGCATATCAACCACAATGGGTTATTTAATGCTGACAACATTTTTAGGATAGATTCGTATGAATAGAGTATGTATTCTTTGGTTTAGATTGGTTTGGTTTATTTTGTTTTACGGCATAACCATTTCAATGGGTTATTTAATGCTGACAAAGATTTTTATTGCTGGTAATATTTTGTTTTGTCAAAAATCTGTGTCTGGTAATATATTTCCTTCAAAATTGTATTGCTGGTAATATTTTTTCAAAAAAGTATTGCTGGTCATAGTTAACTATTTTCCCATAGCTGGGACCCTAACAGGTGCTACCACCCCCGGGTCAGGGTGGACCTGGGAACACCAGTAATTAAGAGGTGGTTCCACGCTCCTCAAAACCGCTTGATCCAAGGCCTTGCTGCTGGACGTAGTTTAACGTCTTACCCCGGACGCGAATAGTTAATGATTAAAGATGAATCAGACTAGGAGACAGTAGTACTAAAAAGTGGTCAATACACGCGAGAAAAAATAGAATAAAAGTAAAGATATCATGTAGCGTTTTTAACTTTATAACTTTTATTTTACCACACTCATATATATATATATATATATATATATATATATATATATATATATATATATATATATATATATATATAAAAAAGATATAAAACTGGTATTTTCATAATATATTTGGGTCAGTTGTCTTTAGTCAAGCGCCTCTCACGTATTAAAAACCGGGGATAATTCTATGTGGATGTTGTTTTGTGAAGATTCTTGTATGTCTAAGTGGGAAACGGATAAGTTGCTAACACCTCCAAGAAAATCGGTGATATAATTATGAAGAAAAATAAGCCCCAAACCGATTCAAATGCCCGGATTTATCAAATAATTTGCTTTCAATGCAAATTTTTGATGTGGAGGAGACATCACGTGATCAAAAAGCTCGCATCTGCGAACACCAGACAACAGTTGCCTGTGGACAATCGATTTAACTTTCTCCTTTTACATCAAAACGATAATGGACATAACTTTGATTTCACTAATTCCACCCTAATTTAAAAAGAACATAATTCTTTAAGGAGAAATACATTGAAAACGTAATTATAACATTATTACCCACTATAAACACACGCCTAAAACATTACATTACATCTTTGCCATCTTTGAATCCATTCTTAAAAAAACATCTATCTTATATCTAACACAAAGATTATAAAAGAGTTCAGCCATAACTTAACCTTGTGACTCCCCGTTGAGCGGGTTGAACGTACAAGGGGGAAAATAGATCTCCCACTAGACAGACACACGCACACACTTACAAATACATATTACCATCTGTTGCGCACTTAGACATACAAGAATCTTCACAAACCTACATACACATATAATTATCCAGGGCTTTAATACTCCCATAAATAAAAGAAAACACACACCGGATGCGATTGTGGTTTTTCCTGCAGTGGGTGGGGGTGGGGTTGGTTCAGGTTTTAAACTTGTCTCTGTGCACATTTTACTTTATTAAGAATCTCGAATATGCAGACCGGTTGAAGTATTTTCCATCGTTTAATATCTATCTATCTATCTATCTATCTATCTATCTATCTATCTATCTATCACAGTCTGTTCACGTCTATCTATCTATCTATCTATCTCAGCCCTCTCATATCTATCTATCTATTACAGTCTATTCACATCTATCTATTTATCACAGTCTGTTCACATCTATCTATCTATCTATCTATCTATCTATCTATCTATCTATCTATCTATCTATCTATCACAGTCTGTTCACATCTATCTATCTATCTATCTCAGCCCTCTCATATCTATCTATTACAGTCTATTCGCATCTATCTATTTATCAGTCTGTTCACATCTATCTATCTATCTAGCTTGCTCAGTCTATTTTTTTAAAGCAATTCACCCCAGCAAAGGCGGAAGTTCCACTACCACGCAAGGGGTTACAGAAGGTAAAGAACAAGAGGAGTGTTTATGGAGAGGATAAAGAGAAGGACGGGGAACAAGATCAAGGCATCAGAAGATGTCGATTGACATTACACTTGAATATTTGAAGATTATAGTTATCTGGGAAGCAAAACAGAAGAAGGGAGTTCCGCAGACGAGAAGTGCGAGAGAAGAAGCTGTTTGAGTAGAAGAGACGGTTACATTTAACCATTTCGATAGTGAAAGGAGGGGACTGAGGTGCCAATCTAGTAACTTGCTTAAATTCATGTAGTCTGGGAACAAGGGAAAGCAACTCGTCGGAACAGTCGACGTGAAGATACTTATTGAAGAGACAGAGGGAAGCGACGGCACATCTATGAGAAAGCGACTGTAGACTAGATGTCCGATCGGAATTTTTCATATTACATAACCGTTTCTGGATTTTGTCAAGGACCTCGAGTCTTAAAGCGGGGTCACCAGACCATATATGACAGCAATATTCTAGTCTGTTCATTCTATCTATCTATCTATCTATCTATCTATCTATCTATCTATCTATCTATCTGTCTATCTGTCTCAGCCCTCTCATATCATCTATCTATCTATCTATCTATCTATCTATCTATCTATCTATCTATCTATCTATCTCAGCCCTTTCATATCTATCTCTCTATCTATCTATCTATCTATCTATCTATCTATGAAAACAATGTCCTTATTTCAAAGAGGTCGAACTCTGTGATTTAAAACACGGGAACTGCTGTTGGGTGATTAATAGAGAAAATATTAAAAAATATAATAGTCCTAATTTATCTCTTTTAATTAGCCAAATATATTCATTTTAGTACATATATGCAATAGGTTTATATATGAAACTTAGATGCTACATATATATATATAGCATCTAAGTTTCATATATATATATATATCTATATATGAAACTTAGATGCTATATATATATATATATATATATATATATATATATATATATATATATATATATATATATATATACATACACACACACAGAGGGTGCGAGTAATAAATTGTCGTCAAAATTAGGCAAAAATGAAAATAACACTGACATCTCATTTTTACAGATAGTGCTTTCACCAGTAGAGTAGAGGAGGGGGAAAATATGAAGCGTGCTCCTGGGTACATTTTTGTTTATTAAGTCTCTCGAATTTGCTGACCGTTTCAAGTAATTCCCATCGTTTAATAAACTGGTCATCTTATTCAAATATGGATAACTGTAAAATAACGTTAACAGTAGTCGGAAATCGATATGATACCTGCGCGCACACTTTTCTCAATCAATATATTTATAAATAACTAGATTATGATGTGTGCCGGCTTTTTTTATATATATATATATATATATATATATATATATATATATATAAAGCAAACGTTCTATTCATGCTTTCTCGTATACTTGTTTGTAAGTTGGCCCATATGTGGTGCTAAATTCAGGACAACCTTTGATCTATTGACTTTACCGAAAATAAAATGTCTATAAACGCCGTAAATCGATCAAGACGTCTCGTTTCTTACAGCGACGGACATGTTTTCCGGCGCTGTGAAATGTCCGTGGAAGTGGACGGCTTGTCTGCATGAGGCAGGACAACCTACCGCCTTGACAGCTGGGTCATAAATAGCAGCTTTTAATGGAGGCAGCATTGTGGAAGGTATTCGTTTTTTTTTAGGAAAAACGCCCAACATGTTGTGGCACTTTCGTGAAGGTCATTGGAAAAATTTTTTCTCCAGCCATTTGTCGACACATTTTGGTTAGATGATTCAAACGATTAACCACTTTGCAAGTAATATTATCTATCTATCTATCTATCTATCTATCTATCTATCTATCTATCTATCTATCTATCTATCTAAACCCTCTCATATCTATCTATCTATCTATCTATTTCAGCCCTCTCATATCTATCTATATATCTAAACCCTCTCATATCTATCTATCTATCTATCTATCTATCTATCTATCTATCTATCTATCTATCTATCTATGTATTTCAGCCTTCTCATATCTATCTATCTATCTTAGCCCTCTCATATCTATCTATCTATCTATCTATCTATCTATCTATCTATCTATCTTATATATTCTATATAATAGAATAGCCGAAAGCGCGCTGGTATATAATACAGACAATTTTTCCATACATTATGCCGAGAAAAGAAATAGTTTTTAGGCACAGAAGAAAAAATGAATAAAAAGTTTAATCACAGAACCTTCTCAGTCGTCTTTAAGAGTGATTACTTCCCAAACACACACAACCATAATTTAGCTCTTGAAAATATATTTTCAATTGAGCACTGTTGAGAGATAGGCTATTTCTATAAGCAACAGCCATTCGGGTTAATGCAAAGTAAATGTAATGTAAAATGAATTGGAATACTCCGGCTGACTGGCGTTTTGTAAAAACAATATGCTAGATTTAACTGTTTCTCGTTGTCGAATGAAGATAGTTCAGAGGTAGAAACTATGTCTGACACCAAATCGTCTGTTTCGATCCTGGCTTGAGGCATTCGAATGTCTAGTCTCACTGAGAAGCTGTGATACAGTGAAACAGTACTGTCTGCGAATGACATACACCCCCCCACACACACACATATATATATATATATATATATATATATATATATTTAAAACGACATGCCTGCCCGCGTACTCAATTCCGGAAAATCCTTGTTGAAAACACAACTATACTTAAACATGAAAACAATAAACAAAAACTCAAAATTCTTGAAGCTATCTACATAAAACAGTTGAAACCTAACCTGAACAAAATAAACTATGAAATCTTCACAAATATTTTTAAATGCCTATAATTGATAATGGAAGCTATTGGTTTATACCAACGGCTTTCCATACTTAATACCTCTATTTTTTCACTCTCGTGTGGTCATGTGTGACGTCACGAGCTGCAACGTGATTTTCGCTTCAGCGTCTCGTATATACGAGTTTGTCGTTACTTTCAAATTTTTCATGCAGCAAGGGTGGACTATCAATGTTGTTTCGTTCGTGTCGTGTTTGATTTATTGAAATTGTCATTTTTGATAATGGCTTATGTAAGCCGAAAGCTTAGATTAGATTTAAACATGTATCAATATGGTGTTTTCCTTTCGCCTTTCGACGATAATGTGATTAAGCTTATCAGACAATATGAAAGGAACGTACTTAAAATAAATAGACAAAACTTGTCTATATTCTTTAATGAAACATGCATTAAATAATATATATATATATATATATATATATATATATATATATATATATATATATATATATATAAAAAAAAGGCTTAAACACTAATATTCCATGGTCATAATTTATTCCATTGGAATCGTAATACGATCCAATTCATCAGACCCTCTATCCTCTTGGAATTTTTATTCCGAAAATATACATGTATGTGTATGCACCTATGTATATATATTTATATATTTTGCATATGTATGTGTGTATTTACCACTATCATATATATATATATATATATATATATATATATATATATATATATATATATATATATATATATATACACGCACACAAATTATACGGAAAATAAATGCATAAAAGAAAAAATCAAGAAATATAAGCACTGAATTGCTGATATTCCCTGAAGAGTGGACAGACAGGTCGGCCTAGGAAACTGTTATACCAGAACATTACCTATTCTATTGTAATAGACTCTCCCACACATAATAAGTAGTAGTAGTAGTAGTAGCGCTCGCGAGTTGAGCTCAGTGGAGTTGAGTGAGTCAGTCGATGTCGGACATTGAAGTATCACTAGATTGCTGCGTCATTAATTATTATTGCAAGTTCCTAACGTTTTGTACGTCGGACGCTTTTAGGACCGACTTAGCGAAATACAAGCCTCCACTGTGAAAACTACTCTACAACAGAAACTCTGGGGTAGGCATACTGGAAGTAACATCAATCAGCTTAAATTTTTACTTCAATAACCAACAATTACTATTCTTAAAAGAGTGTTCAATACAGAGTAGAGCAAATATAATATTTTTTGGTCATTGTAACGGAATGTGTATGTCAATGTATGTGGGTGTATGTACCTGTCTTTATCGGTATATATGGTAATTTGGATGCACCTTTCATTGTGTATGTGGTTTTTTCGTTTTTTTTTTTGTAAAGGGTCGTGGAGATATTTTCTGTCTCGTTACTTTTTTGTGTGTGTATATATCTACATACGTCTGCGTGCTTATGTATTATAATCTGATTGTGTATGTATTGTCTTTTGCAAGATGTCATCCTCCCCTGCCTCTGTTTATGCTTCAAATGTATCTATGTTGTCGTGAAGTTCAGAGCAACAGTTGATCTTAACGTTTATTCCAACTTAATTTCAATAAAAACAAAATAAATAGAATAACATATGTATTTTTTCTTTTTTCCTCAGTAGTTTTATAATTTTAAACTTAATATAGATTAAATTTAAATTTTAAAATGGGTAAATTTAATTTCAAATTTTATCGTATAATTTAATATTTATTAGTTAGAATAAATTCTATTTTAGTCTAACCTCAACATTAAAGCATTAAATAATTATTATAACCTTAGTTCGTTGTCAAGTTTTTTGAATTCTCGTATACTTGTATTTTGATTGTTCATTCCAGCTTATGTAACAGCGTTTCCCCTTACCGAGGGTTGTTTGATTAATTTGAACCTTTTAAAACCCTTTATTCTACATTAAACAACATCACTTGATAAGACAGCAGAAGTGTTGAAACAAAATGGCTATTTTTGTAGTGATTTTATAACGTATTTATGCTATAATTTTCCAATAGATAGTTATATATATATATATATATATATATATATATATATATATATATATATATATGAGTAACTTTTTAGTGACGTCTGAGTTTAATTGCCGATCTGAACACCATGTACAGGGTGCGATGGATAAAATGTCGTCTAAATTACACAGAAATGAAAATAACACTGCATTTCATTCTAAAAGACATATTTACGAAAATTACGTAAAAATATCTTGAAATAGCAAAGACTAAATTTCTCCAAGAAAATCACCATTGGCTTCAATCCCAGTTCCAGACTACTTTGGAATTGCCTGCAACTCTTCTGGATGGTCTCCTTGTTTAAGTTGGTGAATGCTGCCATAATCCTTTTATTTAGTTCATCATGGGTGTTGCTCTCTCTTTCTCTCTCTTTCTCTCTCTCTCTCTCCATCAACTGTGCTCCATCAACTGATTAAAAGATGAAATAAAAAAAATAATAAGTGCAATGTATCTATTTTATTGAACAAAATATATTCATTTTAGTACATATATCCAATAGGATTATATATGAATATCTATATATAAACTTAAAATTTGGTTATTATGTATCTATCTATTATCTGTTTGCATCTATCTCAGTTTTTCATTATCTATCTATATATCTATTCCAGTCTGTTCATATCTATCTATCTATCTATCTAGTGGACTTAGAAATCAACGTTCTGTTTTCTCTGACTTATTAGTATCTGTTGCTGTTACCACCGTTTTATCGCTCTTCCAATTAATAGCTTTGCTTGTATTTAAATATTGATGGCGACAGAAAATTACATTTAACAACAAATTATGCTTTTTTACCAAAACATTGATTTAATATGTTTCAACGCTATTAAGTTTGTTTTTCATCGAAAATCTGGAAGAAAACTATTGTCTGTTATTAGCAATTAATGCAAATGAAACGTCAATCGCCATCT